TTTATTGATCGAGATTCATGTTTTTGATACAAAGACTACAGAAAGCTTCATCGAGTATAGAGCTTCATAAGTATTATAACCAAATTTAGCATTAGATTCATAACATGAAAACCTGCGTTGACTACCCAGGTTATGGTAATAGGACTACTATTCAGGTTATGGTAATTGAGTAATTATAACACTCATGGATGCGAGACGTCAAATGATTCTTAAGATTATTATTTCATTAATTTCATGAACAATATTCAACCACATAAAAGGCCAACAAATCATTAAAATAGTTAATAATAATAGTATAATAGTAGTAATCACCTGCTCGTTTGGGCGTATTGCTTATGACAAATGAAATATAATTAAAGGGTCTCTAAAACTTTAATTTAAAATAAACATTCCTTTGATTTCGTTTACATAATATAATCTCAAACAAACTTCAACAATTCTAAAACGAGAATTTACAACTAATATATAATAAAACCTAATTAGTACATACCAACCATATTTTAATTTTCAAAAACTCAGAAGAGAAAATTAATTCACATTTATAGGTTTAAACAACTAGCCTTTTAATCAAAACTATAGTAATAATGTACATAAACTGTGGTATAGAGAACCTGTGCATATAGATTTTGGAATGTTTAAATTAAGATAACATAAATTATTCTTGCATATCGCATTTTTAAGGCTTTAAGACAGTTATTTGTTATTTAAAACAAAATAAACTATTTAATTTCATCTCCATCCAACTCTGAGATGATGGCATCTTGCGGTTCACCTAATGTTACGTGATAACCGCCGCTCATGGACATCTGCGTTTGCAGATTGGGACGTGGATTTTGATGTTTGTCACGTTGTACCTTTGTAAAAGTGGGCCCTCGTTACCTCAATTATCTAATATGTAATAGATTCACTGTTTATTCTAGGTAGGTAAAAGTAAAACTTAATGCATTTTATATAGCCAACTTAATGCGATAATATTAATGTTTTCTTCCTTCGAAGAAGATGAAAAGCGGCTTATTAAATTCAATACTAATTAATTTATTAACGTAGATTTGAGACTGAATGAATAATGGATCTTAACTGACGCTTTAGATATCGTCCTCGTTAATAATTAAACCATACCCGTCTCTCCGGATGTATGGTTCTATTGATGCTTATTAGTGCCTTATTTCTTGTTGTACTTGTGAACAATCCCTACGCAGTGAGAGAAATATTACGGTCGAGTTAACCACAGTGAATGATTTATCATTTAATGCTTACAACTCATCAATGATTTCTCAAAAGTTATAAATTAATAGATTTTTAAAAAGCAGAACTATTCAATTAATACAATGGTGAACTTTCGCAACAGTTTGAACAGAGAAAGGGAGCAATTACCTTCAAAAATATGCAAATAATAATGTACTTACCAACGACTCATCGAAAATGTAGTAAAGAATCTAGATTGTGTGAAAATGTTGGCAACACTAAAGGAAGTTATTCCTTGAGGTTGTTGGCAACACTAAAAGAAGTGTCATTCTGTGAGGTATAAATGAAGGTGCAAGAAGCATTTCATGGTCTTCATCGTGATCTTCGTCTTTCTCTGGCTGTCAACAAGAAGTATACGCGATAGTGCTGCCCAATCGGTATCAGAAATTTAATTGTTAGAGTGGTGTTTCATTAGTGATATTAAAGGTGATAAAATAAGTAATTATACCAGTGTTATTGTTGTGCAAAGTGAAACTACGGTGATTTGGTAAAAGTATTTATATTTCTACCTTCTTAGCTCGATAAAACAAAGTATAGCTAACACGAAATAGAGGTATTGTAAATAGTAATAACTTATTTAAAATTCATCCAGATTGATTATTTTACTAAACTGTTTTCAAATTCTACCCGCAAACCTTCAATGAAGTATCATTGAAAGAAAGTCATTAAGTGAAATGCGTAGTAGATCCGGCTTATCAGGTAGCTTTGAATATAAATGTCTCATTTGAAAGCCCTCAAGATTATTAAAGTCGTCTTGTAATGAATAGTGACGAAAGTCTACTTTTGCAAACGTAAAGCCACATAATTAACTTGGATTTCTTCTGTTGAAATGCTGATTTATAGAAACGAAGGGAAATTGAATATAAAAATACTATTACAAAAAATAGCAAAATTTTAGAAGTTGGAGATAAGCACCGCAAAACTTAAGACTTAGTAAAGATACATACATCAAAACATTTTTATGTAGGTATTTATGTCGTAAAAAGAATGTATTATCTAAAAATAATATTTATTTCATAATTGACAGTACAAATAATGTTGATCATAATTTCAGTTTGGAACTAATTACGGCTATCCGGTTGGTGGTTTCGTTGAAAACCTTGTCATTTTTGATCAAAGAAAAAACTCAGCATTATAATCCAAACCAATATATGTTTCAGAAAAAATTAAAAAAAAATATTTTCCTTGACAAAATATGCAAAAGTGTATCGCTAAATGTAAAACTTCTCTTCCCGCTCGTTTTAGTAATTATTTTCTGAATATTAAAAAGTTACTTAATCCCAAAACATTAATTTATTATATTATTATTAAATCCATATTGAAAGTCAAATGAATATTAACTTTAAATTATTAATATTCGATATCGCATACATTCTGGTGTTGCAATAGGAGGGACTCCGGTATATCAAGTGGAACGCATATAACGAAGGAGATACCACCACCATCGACACTCATAAAAAGGGAAAAAAAGGTGTTTTCGTTCTGATAACCCCGATAGGAGCACACAAAAAGTGGAGGTTGCGTCTGACAGCAATTTTAAAAATACTATTTTCGTTGAGAAATAGGCTTGAATGACCTCTTGGCGGCACATCAAAATATAGTAGTTATTTTTAAGTTACAAAGTTTAAATATTCAAGTTATTTTAATTAAAATTTATACACATAAATTAATTTTAGAATACAGCCATTAAATTTCCTTATAAAATGTAGTAAGTCTCAAACACTAGCAAGTACTATATAACTACACGCGACGATAGCACGGGTAAATTTGTTTCCAATTGCGCAAGTTCAAGCAATTTAGGATGGAATCGTTTCAAGTTCTGGTGAAGTGAACTTCTCAACAGACGATTTGTTCTTTGTTGTATATTACTTTTTAATGACAGTAATAGGCGTGTAGTCGTAAGTTTGGAAGACTTTTGGGAATTCGTGACATCAATCATCATTAATTTTGAAGTCACTTCTGATAGGTTACCATCGTTCTTTAACATTCTCCTGTACAAGTATATAAAATAGACATTTGACTGATAACTATGAAAACGTACGTATATGTATTATTTTAATAGAGAAAATATTTATGCTCATAACTATATTTATGCTATCAATATCAAGAATTTCGTAACCATTTGATGATGCCGCAGTATATATACAAAAAAAGGGTTTTATAAGCTTCCGTACCCAAAGTGGAAATGAAAACACCGCTGTCTGTCTGTCCGTTTTTTATCAGGCTGTATCCCATAAACTGTAATAGTTACACAGTTGAAATTTTCAAAGATAAGTTGAGCTCCCATACAATAGAATTTTGCCGGTTTTTTATTATCCACCATGGAAAATTAAAGCTAAGCAGACGAGTTTTCATATTTATATTCTTAGAAGTGTCCAAGTCCTGAATTTTAATTGTACTATTGGCCACAATCCAAAGTAGCCGCTAGCCTCGAAGGTTTTGCAAAAAACACAATAGTTTATCAGCAACTAACCCCTCGTTCTTTAAAAATAATGTCTGGTACAAACGGTAACTTATAAGGAAAGTTCTATTTTCCAGATTTTAAAATTCTAGAGTGGAAATTAATTTCCTAAAAAATATTATTCTTATTTTAAAAAACTTTTAAGCGATATTTTCGTTTTTAAATTTATTTGAATTTAGCAAAATAATCTTTCTATCCCTGTTTTGTTTGTGCTTTCTGTCGGGTTGGCCATTTTTCCAGCCGTGAATTACAAACGGAAAAATTGTGGCAGTTCTTTGTAAAGATGGTAAGATAAACAAAAAAACTCGTCAATATTACGTAACTCAACTCGGTGCGGCTTTTGTAGCGGTGTTGAATGATACGGTGAAATGTTCTCCAGAAGTTAGGTGTTTTATGGAAAACATACTATCCTGAATGATTTAAGAAACGCTCACCCTCAAAAGTTTGAGGTCATTTGGCCTTTCTGTTATTCGGTAGATCTCTGTTACCAATACTCCAACCACTACATTCGTTTAACTTAGTTGCACCAAATATTTACTTTGCCTGAATTTAACGAAATAGTAGAGGATTGCTGAGATTGCTGTGTTTAAATTTGTTTGTACATAAACCAACTTCCTTTTATGAAAACTATCCATAAATTATACATAAAGTAATATATAAATTGTGGAAATCCAACTGTCCATGGCGCTTACGTAACTACCACCATATATATTTTTTTTTCATTTGTATAAATTGATGTCCATTTACCGCCTTTATCAAGAGTACATTTTAACCATGTTCAATTTTTTTGACATTAAAAAATTGAATAACTAACGTAGGCTGTGGCTTCTCTTACTACAAAATGAAGAAAGAGAAGCAGCGAAATCGAGATAGAAGAGTTAGGATGAGAGTAAGATCCTCTCTCTTAGATTACTTTCGTCCAAACCATTTTTCAGTGGAGGATTTGTCTTTGGTTTAATGATTTATATGAAATCTTAATAGGATCCATACATTTTATTTTATAAAACCTCATGCTAAAATTTTAATTATCGCTACTCAAAGAGTAAAACTTCGTATAGGGCGTATTTACAAAGTAAATAAGATTCAGTTCTCCATTCATTAATTATCTTTGCGGATAGTACATTATCAGACTGTAATGAAATTTCATACTGCCTAGTTGTAGCATAAAATCAATTTAATCGCATCTATTTTGTAATTACAAGTGTATTTATGTACGCTGTCTGCTATATAGTTCTAAAGTTCGCTAGATAGAGACAAATCGTCGAAAATGTTTCATTTTTATCCCAAATTTAAAATGTGCGGACAGGTTTTGATGTTAAGTAAGTTTTTAAAAGATTAGAATATTAGTTAAATAACTTAGTCAGTTATTCAATACATTATTTTATAAGAAAATAGGCTCAAATTTATTTTTTATTTCACGTGGACAAACACCCAGATGCGAACCACGACCTCCAAAGTCGAAGCCAATACCTCGGCAACTGCGCCACGGAGTCATCATTATTCTGCCATTTTCTTGAAATAAAGCTTAACTGACAAACAAAATGGCTAAATATTGGAGTTAAAAACCTAAGCTCATCGCATATTTGTACCGAAAAATTGTAGTAGATATTTTGTCGAGAAAAATAGGAACAAGTGGCTTAACCATTAAATGTATAAATAATCATTTATGTAAATACAGCATTGTTACTGTACAATACGGTTAGCAATTATGTAAATGTGTATTGGAGAAAGGTTGGTAAAAAGTCTTATAAAAGAACTAGGAATGACATTGAGAATAATTAAAGGACAGATTGTTTTTTTAATGTTTTTAAAAGAATATTGATAACATAATTATATAATATGCCATTTCTTAATACTTTGACACTTGAAGTTTCTTTAAGTGTTATGTTCTATTTTACTATAATTAATTATATTCTACTATAATCATATTCGCAACATCAGTGTATATTATTTATTTAACGGATTAATATTAGACGTCATCTATGCCAAATTATCCAGCTCCTATCCATTAAGTTTCTTGTAAATAAAATAAAAAAACTATTATTTTTATTTTCTCCACTAACACACTTATCAATACTTCCAGTCACAATATATTCGACGTCATCACAACCACCACCTGAAGCAGTAGCATTTAAACGTATGGTAGAGATGTGGACCAAACCACCATATGCTCGCATAATGGAACAGCCCCGTGAGAACTATCTAACAACGTGCTCTACAGAGTTAATGAAATGTTACGACATTATCCCACTGTGAGAGTTTTTAATATTTTATAAAACTAATTTCTAATACAGTCATTTAAGTCTATACGAGTTAAGAGTTTTACATATTAGTCAGATTCTCAGTTCCTCATGAACAAGAAACTATTGCCTAACATCTGCGTGTTTGTACATTCGTTTTAAAACCTTTTTATTTCAAGGTCTTAGGGAATATTGCGACTGTTTAATATGAAAATAATTCTTAGCATTTCACCAAAATATGTTAATTAATTGAGTAAAAGGTTGTAACATTAACGAGTAGATTTAAATGTATTGAAATTTTAAGCGTGCCACTTTCGCTGAATAGCATGTCCTCAGGAAAAATTCAAAAGAAAAAAATTTCCTTAAAATTTCTTGAAAAAATACGAAAAGATTGTCGCCGCTGTGGGAATCGAACCCACGTTTTTGGCTTTCGCGGCCTGACGCTATAGCCACTGAAATTAACGGCTGATTGCCACACCGACAAAAATCCTAACGTCTTTTATCTAAATTGTTTTTTTATAATTTTTCATTAAATCTTTTTCACATTTCAGAAAAACACCCGTATGTGCCGCGGCGGCATCGAATTTAGTTACAAAGGGCACCAACAAGAAAATGTTTCTTACCATCTGCGATATGCATTACACCAATTGTAAAGAAAACAGACGTTAGTACACCGCGGAATAATTTTTATTTGAATCACAATTTTAGTTTCAGAAGCAAATACGGGGCACATCGAAGTTGTGAAATTCCATTTACCTCGTCGCATTAAGCTGTACTCTTAAAATCTGCTATTTTGATGTCTATGTACAAAGTTTCTAAATCAGCACCTGATCCCTTCTATTGCTAACAAGAGAACCCGTACCAAATTTTCTCAAAAATTTGCAGACAGGAGATCGCAAGACATTCCAGTAATATGAAGTTTAACGCCATTTTTATGAGAACTCAGTTTCAGGGAGAACAATAATATAGTTTTTGATAATAGAATCGAAGATGGATTGCAAAAAATTATTTTATTACAACACTGCAATGACACGTTGCTTAAGCATATAAGATTTTCTGCCCTTGGTTTATAAAAACTTATTTTAAAGCAAGGAATGTTGTGTAAATTTACTTATTTAATAATTTTATTAATATATTTTTACAACTTACAGGTTTATGGAGTTATCTTAAGGATGACGACGGCGATTGTTAATGTTTCTAAGAATATCACACTTCTATACCATTACTTGTAATAGATATAACCCTCTACACTGACACACTTGTACTGTAAAGAAATAATTAGAATGATAGAGAACATAAAGTATTTATCTAAGTTAAATTAGTACAAACTGAAACAGCAAAATTAAGACATGCAATGACTGCAATATTTTAATGAGATCAAAACATATACCTATATATATATATGTTTGAAAATAATGACCAATACTTCATTTACTTAAAATACATCAATCGGCAATTTCACGATGATAATCATTTCAACATACGAAAATCTAAAGGCACTTGAAAATACATGAACCCGTTTGTGTTCGAACTCCATAGACCTTTTGTACAAATTTACTTTAGCCTAATTTAAACCTAATGCGAATTCTCAATACAAATTCTAAGAAGACTGACGATAAATCCTACTGAATTACGAAAAGTGGTGACTAAAGTGTTCAGGATCTTTGTAACGATCGCTAGAAAAGCAATAGTCATATAAACGGCGATATTGAAACGGTATAAATTATTTTGTGACATTAAAATACACTTATCTATGGTTACTAAATGTTTAGCCGGTTGTATTTGCTGTAGGGTTAATTTTACAACTTGTGTGTTACTTATAACTATCTTTTTAGCGGTGTTAAAACTTTTTATTGATAAAAGCGTACAATAATAATACTGATAATCAATATTAACACTAACCACAATTATTTACCATAGTTTTAATTGCACGTAGTTAACGATAAACTTCTTACATGTTTAAGCAGTTGTAAACTAAATCAGTATTAAAGGTTTAGCTGTTTTTCATAATAAATGCCTTTTAATGTCGAATAAGAACGTTGGCGAGAATTTTATTTTTCTTGTTAACTATTTATTGGGGTATTTTTTTTATTAATACGTATATGATTTTATCAATAAATTAATGGATTTATTTAAAAACTCAGCATCTTTCTTGTTTAGCCATGCTCCATTCTGTAACAAGAAATTCAGTTAATGGACGTTAAAATTGTATCAATATTATAGCGTAGAGAAAATGTAAGGCAATCTTAAAGAACAACATTGCTACGAGTATTAAAAACATTGGGTATATTATAAATAATAGGCAGAAAGAACAAAATCTCGAGAATATATTTATCTGCTTTTGTACCTGAAGCAGGTACTTTTGTATTGTTAACGGTTCAATATATAGCCTTTATTACGTCAAGATCCTCAAAAAATCCTATTCAATAGACCAATCCAACAGAATTCACTATGTCAACGGGAATAAATTGGTTTTTAAGTTACTTCTTATACTATTTGATTCAATTACAAACTCTATTTCATTGGTATTTTAAAGATTATTTAGATTGCGTAGCAAAAGTAAGTAGATGATGAGGATGATACGAGTATTGGGAGAAAAATACAATCGCTAAGAAATTTTTAATTTTTTTTGGGTCATTTGCTCACACAAATTGTCGTCAGTGACATTGTTGAAAGCCATTAATAATACATTAGCTCAATAAAGATGTTTCATTATATAAAACCACACTCACTCCTCCAACTATTGCAGTTCTCGTACTCCATTTGGCAATAGTTCATGAATGTTTTGTAATATCCGTCGTAGTCACGTGCACAGACGAGCTGGGTTCTAACAAAAAAAATGCATTAGAATACGTTTTATATAGCTTTTGAAGGTATTAATAGCTACAATAGCATTGTACAGTGTTCTCCAGCCACTAGATGCAAGCCTAGTGCTTATTCATAAGTTTGCTCGCTCATCCGGGGAAATACCACGGCGTTCAAGAGTACTTGTCTAAAGTCGAAACATGTGCTTTTACTTTCTTAAAAGTTGACACGGTTTTTGTCATCATTTAAAATCTGGTGAATGGATTGCCCGTCACACATACATTTTCACATAAAGCAAAAATAATACCAAGTTACAGATTAATTGTATGACTTAATTCCTCCTAAACTCTTCTACCTATAGACACAAGACACTCAAGTACATTTGTTTTCTATTTATTATAATTCTTTTAAGACCATTCACTTGCCATCATAGGTATGATAGTCAAACTAGAAGACAATTTAAGACAAAAATGTATAACCGTATTTCTACATCGTATCCACGCTGTTACTACGTAAGCGTAAAAAAGGGAACAAAGGAGTAGCAAATGTAGCGGTTTGAAATTACTCGTAATATACCTTAACTACTACAGGGAGTTATAGCGGCTTTGCAGGCGTCAAGAAACGGCATTGATAAATACACGATCAATAAAATGTACATCGCTACGAGCGCTTTGCGATATTTACACAATTACATTTTTTTTGACAAAAACAAAACCGACTTCAAATGTTTCCCTGACTTTCTATTTACACTTTGTATATTTGATTTAGAGGAGCTAATCAAATTAATATGTGGATATGTGGGAGCTAAATCGAATCCAATGCAAAAATAACTTTTAAAATTCGTACCCAAGACTAAGTTCTTACGTCCTAATAAACATATGAAATACAACCGAAAGATACCGAAAATAGAGAACCTCATATTCCTTTATGAAGTCGTTGTAAGAAACAATGACTGTTCTAAACTTTTCAATTCCCGTTACAACTCGATAAATTTACTAAGTACGTATGGTGAAAATTTTATTCAGTATAATAATGTCAATTATATCGCAAATCGTTCTTAATCTTCCACGATTACAGTCTTGTAAATTCCAGTGAGAGACAGTATTAGATAATAGAACGCATGAGGATACATCTCTTATGTATCCTTATTACGATTGTACTAATATTAAGAAGTTTTACAACCCACTTGTATGAAGCCGGACAATCGTTGAGGAAAACAGTGCAACCTTTGTCAATTAAGTCCGATTTCCGGAATATCGAGTTTTTCGGGTAGAATCGGACACGTTGCGGCCTTGTGTGAAGTTTGTTGATATATTCCGACATCGAGTCTTTGATCACTAAACAAATAGAATACTTGTTGATATCTACGTTTTAAGATACAATCAGCCATTTCATTTTATGCATTAATTCAAGTGACTGCATAAAATATTTGTACACTTCTTTGATTAAATAAAACCGTTTAAACGGTTTTATTTTCTGTTTTTTTTTTGTGCACTGAAATCTACAATATTGTATTGTCATCTAAATTAAATGTGTGTAAATTTCAGATCAATCTGACAACGGGAAGGTGCTTAAATTTCAATTTCTAATTTTGACCCAAATGAACAAATAAATTCCGTACGTGTCGAGCTAAATAAAACCGTTTAAAAACATGTCGAATTTCCCACGACACGGCGTGCCTTGCACACTTTTACAAATAAATTATTATTACGTTTTAGAAATGTAGGTTGCAAAAAGGACTTCGATTTATTTCTTGGACACGTCAAATTCTAATTTATCAATGCAATGATAATTGTTTGTGAAAAGGTAATTTATTAAAAATTTTACACTAAAAACCCAAGGAACTGATCGCAACTTAAAGTAGCCACCAGAAGTTTTAAAGTCTATTAAAACTGGATTGTTTTACATAAATAGAAATAAGGATACTTACTTAAAGGAAATATTAACATCGTAATCTTAAACAGCTTCATCGGGCGAGGGAACTTGCAACATCAATGAACAAGAGTTACAAAATTAAAACGTAACTATCCCGAACGAGCCATGCCAGGTGCAAGCCTCAACAAGAATTCCGATAAGAACTTACTTTATAACTGCGTGCGATTCTTGAAATTGCGTTTCATTTCTAGGCAGATAAGAAATGGCGAAACTATTCATATTTATTTTAGCCGAATACTGCACAATCTTCATAAAGCGAATACATATATTCATACATACTTTACGAAATACAGTCGATCCGTATCGAAAAAAAATTAAACTTGCTTATAAACTTTATTATTTAGACCATTGGTACTTTTTTATACAGTACCTTGAAAGGTACTGAATGACTTGTATAAATGTAAAATCGTGTCTCACCCGTATTGTATTTTTAAAAATGAAATATTTAAATGCTTAAATGCAATTAAGTAAAATTCTATTAAACCTGAAATATATGTTTTTGTTTTCTTATGGGGAAAGGAGGCAAACGAGCATGCGGGTCACCTGATGGTAAGTGATCAACGCCGCCCATGGACATTTGCATCATCGGTTGAGTCGCAATTCCGTTGCCGGCCCTTAAGGCATGAATAGGCTCTCTTCTTGAAGGTCCCTAAGTCCCTATGCATGAAGAAATATGTGTAAATTCAACTAGTAAGTTGTACCTAATTTCATTTGCAACATAGAAGGTCATTACAGCGTCAAGACAGAACAAACTTTCATTATAGTAATAAAAATGAAAATAAAAAATATAATTTTACCCAATTTATTGACTACAAATTTACAAAAATCATAAAATTATTTAATTACGCCCAAGTTAATGACGATTATTATTTTTCTGAAATTTCCTTCCTTAAACTGATTATTATTTTCCTGAATTAGCTATCGTTATAATCTTTTCCGCCACATCGACAGCCGGCCCCGCTTTCTCAAGACCATCGCGAATGTTTTGTCCAATCTTCTCCTACAAAAAGATTGATATAATAGAGAAGCACAGTTTAATAAAGAAAGAAGAATTAGCCTCTGGATGGATGGATATCTGTTCCAATCAGTTGAACCCTGAGATCGCTTCATATTTTCTTTAAAAAATAAAACATCATTATAAAACATTTTTTATCTCTAGACCACATTACGTTTCTAATCAAAATACTTGTTCTCGCCGAAGTATTGGTATAATCGACTTTATTTATTGTTATAAAGTTACATATGACAAGAGAAGGTAACCTTTGGCTAAGCCCTCGTACAGAGAAGGAAGACAAAAGAATATACATAGTTACGAAAAAGTAGCGTATGAAAAACAAATCGCTGAAGCTGCCAGTATCATTCAGATGCACGTTTTACATATACCACAAACAAACCACAATTATTGTTCAAGTATTTTTTATGCATAATTTTTTTTGCCTTTTGGCATAAAATAACATATGAATAAGTAAGTAAGTAAGATCACAGCTATTCTGATGGCTTGGTTGGTGGAAGGTCTAAGTTCTATAAAAATTCTACTAAAACATTTATATATTTCTATCGCATAAATGTACTTTTACAACCGCCTTTATGAATAAGAACATTGTTATTTTATATGAGATGATGATTCAAAAAAATGAAATAATTTACCAGTTTCTTCCATCCGCTCCATTTGGGTTCGGGTTCTCCGGAAATCATATTTAGAGCCGAAATAATCGCGAATATTATAAATATAAAATGAAATATTTTCATCTTTATTAATATAAATGAATCGAACTGTTACAATAGTTTCGAACTGTTCTACTGTTATTTTTTTCCATGTTCTCCTTTTATATTCGTCGAAGTCATCGGGACTAATTGTTGGAATTTCATGTTCATCTTCAAGATGAAATTTTCTTATGGTGGAACATGCTACGCATAGAATAGTCCACTATATCTACGCATAAAATTGATAACGGGACGTTTTATTTCAGCCCATAAAAAAAATGAAATATCGGTTATATCTTTCACTGTTGGCCTTTAGCGGGCATTTACAGATCCACCGTGCTTGACGTGGCCAGGCGTCGAGGATACATGAGCCTCGTTTATGACTGACTACGCTCGAGTGCTCCCTAGGAAGCTTCGGCTCAGGCCGCCATGAGTAGCGAGAGAGACAGTCATTATAGTACAATATTATACAATAGTACATTGCCATGATAGGTATTATACAATAGTCACTGTACGAGGGCTCCCTTTTAATATCAAGTACTCGAGCAACCTGAATATTATCCCCGGTGCCGGCACAAATTAAATTGTTGATTTTAAATGCTGAATTGTTACGTGCTCAGCGGTGATGAAAAAGGTCGCAAGAAAACCTACATATTTTCGAAATAATAACAAAAAATATGTTTCGAATGTATATGAAATTCGCCAATCCGCAGTGGGGCAACGTGGTGGACTATACCCTAATACCATCTGTACAGAGGAGACATTTGTCCGTCAGTGGAACATTTATAAGCTTTTCTTGTTACTTTGCTTTTTTTATAAAATGAGCATTTAGCATTTCGATTCGAGGGTGCCTGAGTGCCGAACATCGGCTTGATCGGTAGCTATGGTCTGACTAAAAGAATTTCTGCAACTAAATCTTAGTAGTTAACTAAATCTTACAGAACTGTGGTAGTCTGAAAGCTTTAGCACTGAGAGAAGTGGCAAAAGAAACTGGAACAATCGCGGGGGAAACCTGCCAGGTACGTCCCGGCATCTAGCATAGGTTTGCTGCTCTTACCGGCGAATGCAGTTTGTTTTGTGTTCGTGTAGTTGTTTAAGCCTAATGCTGGTGATGGTCGCCTCATCATCCATTCAGATGGAGTGTCCCTTTTGCTTTCCTTTGAACCTGTTCACCTTGCAGAGGTGATCGGGCCTAACCAGAAATAGGCTGGGGGAGCATTGAGACTCGAGGATTCGGCCTTCTCTTAATTCAGCATTCCTGGCGTTACTCGGTGACGGGGTTACCCTTGAGTGATTTGGCAAGCTTCCAAAACGCTTGGTGGAAAGGTTTAATCTAAGATATGGTGGATTTAACCGTTCATTTCATGTGGCCGCTATGTGTGTGTTTTCACATTCCGTTGTAAGTTTGGCAAGGCCCAGTTGTATTGATATCTACGGGGATTGACTCTAGTTGGGACGGATTACCTTCATTGAGCTTTGATTTAACTTTGTTCCAAATAATAACTGTTTTGAAATTTTAATTGTTTATGGTGCTAATCTTTGCACTTAGGATTGAACATTAAAATATGTAGAAAAGGTACGAATTAACCGCTAAGCTAAACGGCTGATTGCCACATCGACGAACGAAAATCTTGACTTTCATTCATCCATTGTTTTTTCTACATATTTTAATAACTGTTTTCGTTAGCGGAGTGGCTATTGCTGAGAATCCTAGCCATAGTATGACAGTTCAGTTCAATGACGCGTATGGTGAGGTTGATATTATTGATGATCGCAATTTCAAGCAAATCTGATATGTTGTGCCAAACATACGCACTCCCCTCGATATAAAGGAAGTACGCATGTTGGTCATGGTATACGATGTCAAAATTGAGCCTGTCGGATTGCGAGTCAAGTGCAATGCCTCGACCGTTGGTTTGAGAATTCCACACCTGTGCTTTCTATTGAAATCGCCTGCAAGGATGGTAGGTCCTCCTAATAAAATAAGTACTTAAAAATCTGAGCGCAATACAACTGCGCTTGAACTACAAGAGAGATAGACTGAAGTTATTGACATTGGAGTGTAACTGGCCACACAGATAGCCAGGTGACAGATTCAGTAATGTTTCCTGTATCAGTAAAACATCATTCTGATGATCGTGTAAAAATATGTGTATTTCGTCGCGTTGTTCTTTTAACCCGTTCGCGTCGTAAAAAGCTACGTTGATCGATCTGGTCGCTGAGGTAGGAGAGACTAATTCTGGTTTCGTGATGGGTATGGGAGACATTCCTCCGGCAATTCTTCCTGCCTTCTAACAGCTTGAGTGGCCAGTTTATATGGTTTGTGCCTGGGTGCATTCCGGAGTAACCTAACTGCATGGCCCTCCAACTGGCAAAGTACCCATGCGGGGGGGAGAGTTTTCTGTTAAGATAAGGTAAACGACACACAAAAATGTACTAAAAAGTAAATCTTGTTTACGGGTTGCTCTTAGAATATGATATTTTTCCGAGTTATAAACTTCTTTACTAGTAGAATCTTGAGTCTACTATGTATTCTTAATCGTAATTGGGCGCTAGTAGGTAATTCTCAGAATTCATTATTTTTCCCACGCTTAGTTTAAAACAACGTGAAATCTTACATACTGATCTAAAATAAATCTCCAAAATCTGATCAGTGTAATCTTGCCATAGAGAGAATAACCATTAAGAGTGCCAGTAAATAAATCAAGCTTTTCCACATCAATGCATGTTCCCGGCGTTATTACAGTGGTCACTAGTCGACCACACTGACAGCGAGGCCGCTTTAATGCTCCCATCATGAATGTTTCATCCTATTTTACACAGAAAATAACAACAATAAGTGGTAGATGCGTCGATAAATCAGTTCAAATTATAATCATTATGTAAAAAATTATTGAAGCTCATTAAATCTCATTTCATCTAGGATTTGGAGGACCCATAACAAAAAAGAAAACTTTTTTAATTTTCTTGCGAAATTCATTTTTAAAATTGATGTTGAAGTGAAGTATTAAAAAGGTTATACTGATTTGGTTATGATGGTGCGTGCAATGGCATATGCCTGATCTTATTCAATAATGATGTTTTACTATTCTATAGTATTATATATTACATAGTCAAGTAGCAGTTCTAAAATCAGATGGAGAGCTTTGAGGTTAAAGTTTTATGCAAGTAATGCCTGAAAATGCGAAAAAACTAAACAAAATGGATAAATTATGTTGAGATATTTATTGCATAAAAATATTACAACTATTGAATTAGATCCATATTAATGACGAAATTTTCCTTCCGTAAACTTATAATCATTTTCCAGATTTAGCTATTGCTATAACCT